CTCTCTCTCTCTCTACTCTACTCTTTCCACCCCCACCCCACTTTCCGTCTCTCTCTTATTCTCCACTCATCTGCACCATCTTTCTCTCCCTAAAACTAGCTTTAACTATCTTTCTCCTACTCGAGTTTTCTCTTCGTTCCCCGAACGAAACCAGCCTCCCGTCGTGCTCTATTGAGACATCTCAGATTGCTTATGACGACCGCGTCTCTGGGACGCGTTATCGCTTTCTGCCAGATTGCTCTAAATGACTGCCAGAGGAGAGGAGAACGTTCATCTTTCATCATACATAAACACATACGAGAAAAGAATTTCTACACTGTGCTCAACAAATAAAGAAATAACAAAATCTTAGATTTTCAGATAGAAATATAAAATAAAATCACTTTTAAAGGAATGCGACAAACGTTACTATTAAATGGGAAACATGTGAAAATACACATCAATAGGAAACTGAATAGAGCTGTAGCAATGTTAAACTGGCATAAAGTAAAATGAAGTATCGTTCGTTCAAAGAAAATATACAGAAAACAAACAGAACACAAACAAACAACATTTCAGACAACAATGAAACAAACACGTACTTCCAGCATAGCCTTCAATCCAGGCGCCACAACACCCAGGTCAGAGGTATCCCTGAGAATCTTCTTAGATCTAGCGCTTAAATGTGGGTTTCTAAGGGGCTCGTAGCCCGGACTGTACAGAAGTGGATGAGTCGCAATGTTCTCGATCACACTGGGACTCGTTCCGCGAAAGTCACGAGCAAGGCTAGCGATTCCTAGCCTGTCTCCGTACTCCCTCGGCTGAGAGTACGTGTGATAGCTCTTGGTTCTTGATGAAGAAGAGGACGACGAAGATGATTTGACTTTAGAGGATGAAGAAGACGACTGCTTTTTGGAGTTGGAAGAGGACGATGAGGATTTAGCGGGGGCTGGGGCAGGGGCAGGAGGATTACGTGGTCTGGTCTCCACGAAGTCCTCCTCTACCCTGACCACAGGTTTTGGAGGTTCAGGGGCAGGCTCGGATCTCTTCACTGTGATCTGTTCCTGGACGACCTCAACGGTCTCCGAGCTGCTGGGAGCAGGAGCTTCAGCAATGGGTACCTCTTCCTCTGTAGATGCCATTTTGTTTGTAGCTGCTTGAGATTCTATGCGAAAGTATCAGCGAAAATTGCGAATGCCCAACGGTGATCAGCGATGATAGTAAGATGAACAAAGTCAAACAACAAATCTTATAAACCTTACCGGTTTCCGAATGTATGAATGAAAGCAATATATAACAAGCGCGCAAAAGCTGCGAAGATATGTATACTTTGTAAACAAGAAGCTTGGCCTGCAAGCAGTAAAGAATGTAGAAGTCTAGAACCCGCAGACTTTGTAAAAGCAAGTGCACCAACACCAAGTCAAAAGCACAATAAAAGAATGCCCTTGTTGAAAAAGTCCAGTGAAATGTATATGTACACTGAACAATATATATCACAACAACAGCGGGGCTTGGATGAGGAAACAAGATGGATGCCGAAGAAGTTGTGATAGAAGTCGTCCTCCTCCTACTACGTCCTCTTCCCAAGAACCTAAGAGCAGAAATGATGCTGTCTCTGAAGGCTCACGTGCATTTATATAAGCCTTGAAGCTTGGAGCCAATCACCACCCGGCCTCAACAATAGTCAGGTAGAAGAGAGTGAGAGTCGATGAGCACGTTTAGGGGAGGGAGAATAAGGGGGAGGGAGGGGGCTGGCGGTGACAGCTCACTGTAAGTTCCGGGGCAAGGGGTACGTTAAGGTAAAGGCATGCTCAAACTAGAGTTTGGCGCACTCACGTATAGACAACCGGTTGCTGTAGACCCAAATCTAAGCACGGAGTGGGGTGGGGGTGGGGGTAATCGACGGCGGTGGGGAGGAAAAACGGGTTGGTTTGAGGGATGTGGGGGAGGGGGGGGATCCAGCTAACGTCTAAGGTATGCGAACAACAAATGCACTCCTCGCACGTTCTGTGGTCTGAGCCTCCTACTTTCCCTTGGTGTTCTCGTATTTTGTTTTGATTCCTATATTGTGACGTTGCCAGTTTCTTCCCTTCTTCAGGTGTGTGCTTCTTTTTTTCCAGACGCCAGCTAAGCCTAGTGTATGACTCGGCTCTGGAATATTTTCCTGCTCCTCACATTTCGTTTTCGAGATATTCAGCGTTTTCTTGAAACGCTAGCTAGTAGAATAATTTTTGAGAATTCAGCATCTTATTACCAATTACTTTTCTGCATTAAATGCTTCGTCTGATGAATTTGAGATTAGGCCGACATCTACTGAAACTGTATAATTAATAAGTCGGTAAGAATTTGCTTTGGTTTGTGTCCATTTATTCTGTGTGTTTGTATGTTATGTTTGTTTGCGTGTGTGTATGTGTGCGTGTATGCTTGTTTGAGTGTGTGTGTGTGTGTGTGTGTGTGTGTGTGTGTGTGTGTGTGTGTGTGTGTGTGTGTGTGTGTTTGAAGTAAGTCTGTGTGTGTGCTGTATTTAAGTGGTATGTGTGTGTTTGTGTGTCTGAGTGTCTGTGTAGGTGTGCATCCATGTCTCTGCGCACGAATCTAACCAGTAAACAAAAGCTCAGGCCTATCATGTCTGTGTTGGATGTGCCCCGTGAGTAACAGCGGCGTGCAGGTGCTCTGAGTCAGACGTGTCTTCAGGGTTATATTTGTGTTTACAGCAACACATCCCGCGTGTTTCACTAGGCCCGCATATTTTGGCACAGGGCTCAAGGCTGACTATCAACTTTTGGCTTTGAGGGGGGCAAAAATGAATAACTCTAGAATAGATATTTTTTTTAATGAATACGTAAACAGGACATTTCCAGAGCACGATCAAGGCTTGCCTGTTGGATCATTTAGACCCGGTTGAAGGAATCAGATCTTTTCACAGGCCAAACTATATCGCCTGAAAAAATTTGGTGTCGCCGCCTTGTGTTCAGACAATTCTAAGGCTCATATAAATGTGGAGGAATCTGGCAGATCTAGAAAGAAGGAACAATGGTGGTAGAATGTGTGTATTGTCTGCTCGTTTGTTTTGTTTTCTGAGAACCATCTTGCGCAATAGGCTCTGTTGTTTTGGGCTGATTCAGACCGAGGTCACAACGTCCTATCCTTGATTTATCCTTGATTACTGTTTACCATAGTTATTTCTAGAAATGCTGAGCAATCGCACAGGGTGAGAAGCGTGCTTCACTGTTTAAAGCCTATCAACATGTTTAGTGATGGGGACGGTGGAATTCCAGACAGGTTGTCTAAGTCGCTTCTCACTAAAATGGCACAGGCAGACAACATTGCGTAAGAAAGAAGAGAAAATGCTGACAACAGTGAAAAGAAGCGGAACAATAATATATCAGGAACTGCGCTTTAAAACCTAGGAAAAAGAATAGCATGAGATAGCTTCTCCCTGAAAACTAAACAAAAATCTTAAAGGTTCACCACAACGGCTTAAAAGGAATGCTCGGAAAAGAACTTTCGAATTGGTACAGACTACAAAAGAGGAGATGGATGCCAAAGAGATTGCTGTCTTGATTCTTAGATTATGAACTGTAAGTCTGGAAGAGAATCCTATAGAGGGGATACCATAATAGTGATTGGAAACAGGTTCTCGTTGACTTTAAAAACAATAATAACACCCTGAGAGGGCACCGAGATATAGCTGTCGATGATACACATCCCTCTGGGGTATCGGATGTGCTCATGAAACCCACCTGGTTTCTGACACAGCGGGTAAATATTTACACTCCGAGGAACTCAAATTCTATTTTGAGCGACAGGAACCGTGAGCAGCAATCGTCCGTACCACGCTGGTACTTTCTTAGACACGCGCTCGTCTGCCTCGCGGTGAGCCAACCGGTGAGCAATTTGCCATTGTGCAACGTTCAGCGTTTTGCAATGCTCAGCACCAGGTATTTCGTTCGGCGCCCGAATTTCTATAGGCTGCAAATGTTAACGGTATATAAAAATAAGCAAGGTAGACTCGGGTGATTGTTTGACGTTATCTCTTTCTCGCGTGAAGGGGAAGGTGTGAGGTATATTCAGATATCTTATTGTCTTATTGGTTTCGGTTACCGGCCTCTTTGTTTTCTCTAGAGCTTGCACAATATTCAAGCGTGCTTCCAACATCGCAAGAGGATACGGCTACCTATATTTTTTTCTTATTTAGACGAAAGTATTTAATGATAACAAGCTAGCTTTCCTTTTCCTTATTTTTACCCTCTTGTCTTACTTATTACTTTTCGTTCGCTTTTATGTACGGGAAATAGAAGAAAAAAAGCAAAAAGTAGAGGGATAGGAAGAGAATGGGGAATCAGTGAGACGCAGAGAGAGAGAGAGAGAGAGAGAGAGAGAGAGAGAGAGAGAGAGAGAGAGAGAGAGAGCGAGAGAGAGAGCGAGAGAGAGAGAGGCAGACAGACAGACAGACAGACAAACAGACAGACAGACAGACAGAAGGACAGAGTGTGTGTGTGTGTGTGTGTGTGTGTGTGTGTGTGTGTGTGTGTGTGTGTGTGTATGTGTGTGTGTGTGTGTAAAAAGAAAGAGGGATAAGAAAATGAGAGACCATAATTTGGAGGGCACACCGAGAGGCATTAACTTTCTCAAGTTTACTTTCAAAGGTGATGAGTTGGCAAACGCTACAAGAGTGGCACTGAGCTCTAGACTCCAAAGTGGGGGAGGGGCAGGAGGGTTTGCGAACAGCACGATCAAGTCTTCCATCGCGCTCCCTCAGATTATAAAAACAAACTAAAACACGAACGAAAGGCAGGGGAGTCTGGTAATTTCGTTTTGCTTTTTTCTGTGAATTTTTTATGCCCCACTAGAAATCTCGCTCACACCGAGCGTTCCTGCGCGTGTTGCTAGCTCACCTCTCTCACGCGCATGCTCGCGCGGGCGTCTGTTCACCTGGTGGGTTTTCGCCCTGCCTTATTTAGTCTCCTCGGGCGGTGTCGGTTAGCGCGAGAGATTTGCGAGACGTGCAAGTGATGTGTTTGAGAGACTGGGAGCGTGTACCAGAGAGCGAGAGAGAGGAAGAGAGAGAGAGAGGGGGGGGGGAGCGAAATAGTACTGCAGTATAATACGAATCTGTTTTCTCATCTCGACAGAGACTGAGACAATAACAAACCGGTTGTTTCACCAACAAAAAATAGTGAGTACGGCGGTTTTGTTCTGTTCTCTCGTATCAGATAACAGAAAACGAATCTGCGCCACCGTCTGAAGAAAGACGCCATGACAATAAATCTGATCTGTCACCTCAAAAGAGGGTGATCAGAATGAACGCAATCTTCATGTTGAAAGAAAACAATACGGTCGAACCAAAGCCTCTACTCAAGGTATTATTATTCTCTTGACTATAAAGAAACACAACAGAGAAACTGTTTTTCAGCCTCTCAATATTCCCAACTTGAATAACGACAAGTCAACATTTCATTTCCTGAAAATGTCGTCTGGAGAAAAATATCAGACAAAAGGAAAAAGAAAGAGTGCTACATGTTCTGGCCTGGGGTCTTTCGCTTCCACGGACAAGGAAAGATTGTGAAAGTTCACAAGGCTGCCGCACCTGTTTCATGGCTTCAAGAATTGAAAATTAGCCAAGCTGCCTTGTCCTGGCACAGGTTCAAACGGTATGCCTCTCCACTACCTGGGAATGCTCTTACCACACTCCTTTCGCCTCTATTAGAACACGTCGAATCCAACTCGTGCGCCCCCCCCCCCCCCCACAACTCGTTATCTTTGAGTGAAAGTGTGCTGTGTTAAAAGCTTTCACTTTCGTGATGCCTTCTCCTAAAATCCCGCCCCCCCCCTTTCTTCCCACCCCTTTTCTCCATGTCTTGTCCCTCTCTTTCTTTTGGCTAGCTGTCAAGAAAGTACGGTATCAATTAACTCACTCGTTTTGCAAGAGAAGATATTATGAAACTCTTGCAGATAATTAAGAAAATTCAGAGATATACAAAAACCTCCATCCTGGGTTTTTTTCCTCCTGTGTTTAAAAAAAATTATTTTCTATGGTCGGTATTTTTCTCCAGTTTAACTGGGGATAGTATATTTAAGCCTTCTGATTTGCTTTTCATTGTTTCTCACCTGTTGCGTGGATCCAGACACCATCGATCTGTATTATCGAACTACTTCATTCCCTTAACATGCTATAATGTGTATTATTGTGTAAGGCTCTACGGGGAATTGAGAAATCAGGTGCAAAAGTATAAAAAAATAGAAACTGGCATTGGGTATATTGGGTTTGTAGGACGCATTCCGATTGGTGAATAAAATAATTTTTATGCACGACGGAAAAACAGATAATCAATGATTATCTGTTTCCGCATGAGGTGCAAAGTTAGAGAGGGTAACACAATTTACTTTCGTAAATGCACACAGGATGGTATTGGTAATGACATAAGGAAAGGTTGGGTTTGTGTACAACGGGGTGACAGGTGAAACAAAATTTGGTATTACATTCTCATGAAGTTGTTCTATAGAAAGTAAGTTTTGAATAAAAAAAAGTTCTGTAATCAGGTATCACAAATAGTTTCAGGAAACTTGCAGGGTCTTGATTATAAAACTAGGGGTGGTTTTGGTCAATCATTCATAGGAAACCAAATCAATCAATACACTAGGAAGTGAAATAAAATAAATGGGAAGGCAAACTCAAAACACAGGTGAACACAGCAACAATTTTATTGGGAGGACAAAACAGTTTCACTCACCTTGGGCTCTTGCTCCACCAGGTTCAGACTGGCTCAATAGGGGTGCAACATCTCTTATAAAGAGGTATTTTTATCTACTGGGTTCTAAAATTTAATTTCAGGCCAAGAGAACAACATCAGCGGAGAAAGCCGCTAAAGGTTCACTTTAATTTTTTGTCCCCGGAATTGCTTTGACTGCAGCTTGAAGTTACAGTTTTTTACAATCAAAATATTTTTTATCAGATTTGTTTTGAGTTTTTTTCAGTACTGCAAGCACTAGGGTCCTTTCCCGTTTGGTATTGTGGCAAGCCGTGGAGTGACAGCCGCAGCTGTACCAAAGTAGGCTTAGTGGACGTGGGAACGACACACTGTTTGAGTTTTTCACGAAAAGATCAATACAGCAACATCAAAATGAAAATGAAAACGCAATAACACAAACGAGTATGAAGAAAAACGGAGAAAAAGCGAGAGATAGAGAGAGATGGAGCGAGAAAGAAAAAAAGAGAGGAGAATACTAAGAGGAATAAAACAAACAACAAAACATTTAAAGGGACAGAAGTCTGTAACAAGGGACACAACCACACAACAGTTTGGGGACTGACAAATAACGAAAGCTGAGACAAAGGGAGGTAATCACCTGGAGTTCCTTGATCTTCTTCTGGAGCTGGGCAACCAAGTTCTGCTCATCCTCCAGTTTGGAGTTGAGGCCGTTGATTTCCATGTCCTTCCTAGAGAAAATAATAAGATAATGCTTTGTAAAACGATGAATAAAATGTTGAATTCTAGAAAGAGAACCCTGTTCTGTGTTTTGTTTGAAATATTATGGAAACGCTGAGTGTCATGCTTGTAAAAATCCCACACTTGTGTAGTATAACACTCTGATATAATAAACCATAAAACTACTGAGAGGTTGAGAGAGACAGAAAGGCAGAAACAGATTGAGACAGAGACAGATGGAGAGAGAGAGAGAGAGAGAGAGAGAGAGAGAGAGAA